TTTTACAGTGAAATTGATTATACCCATTGTAACGGTCACTCCATGTTGCAAATATTAAAACAGCCAGTCACTCATTGTTGTAAATATCAAATTAGCTATAATTAAAGTAGGATGAAATGGATCTAATCCATACGTCAAAAACTACGCCAGTAGCGAAACGACACTGGTCGATTTACTATAAAAATAGAATATCTCGTGAGTAAAGCCACACGACCTTGTGCAATTTCTCCCAAGGCCGAGTCCAGTGATATCTTCGGGAAAGTTGGGAAAAGAGAGAGTTGTGGCTACACCCGACATTGAACGAAGGACCAGCGATCGGAATAATCTCTCGCATTGCCGATCTAGTTCGAAGAAGTTCGCGGGAAAATCGAACTTCCGTTAAGTTCGGCCGAGGTCACCTTCCCTAATCTGAGGGTCACGGTTTCGCCTCACTTTCGTCCGAACCGCAGATAACAGTGGAAGTGTGTCCTTTTTTTGTTCGCGTTATTTGATAGTTTTGTATAGCAACGTGGTTTTACTTTATACTTGAATTCTAATTTCTCGTCGTTGATTGTTTAGTTATAGCTATCAATCTAAAAGTAGTGTGCGTCATAGGCTAGACTTTGTATGTGCAAAAGACAAGCTAGACCAGGTAATGTGCTGCTCGGTAAAGAAAATCTGTGCAATGTGCTTAATGGTATTTTCAACAGCCGACGGCTACATCCTCTTCCAACGCCATCATCTGCATCCCCGGGGCGAAAGATTCCGGCAACCGTCACCTTGGCCGGTGGAAAGCGATCTGCATCCACATCGCTTGTCGGGGCTTGGTGGTTGTCAAGCGCCACCTGTGGTAGAATTACCATCCGTCCAACCACGTGGAAATCGTTGATCAGTCCTATTAAAACTTTTGAATGAAAGGAAGAAAGTGTCTTCACGTTGTTTCGGGTCCGGGTAATTATGTTGTCTTCCGCGTGGTAGGAATTTGACTTGTATGTGGCGTACCTCTTTTGTTGAAGCTGCACCTCTGGCGGAAATAAGTGGAACTACCGATGAGGAAAGCTTGACGTGTAACGTCGTTTAGGTTTGTGTGATCTCTTACCGTGAGCTTCGGGGAAATATTTCGGGGTGTGAGAGATTATGCTGTTTTAGCAATATGGTTTTCTACCCGATCAATTTCGGTGGTAGTGAAGCTGGCTCGATCTCTTCTTTTTAGGAAGATTACACTTGGACTCGCCCTTGAGGCAGTCTCATCCGGGCAAACTCAACATGGTATGCGGTCTCCTTTAACGGAGTGGCGCTTAAGCCGCATACTTATTCGAGATCGACCAGTGACGGCTACACCATTTTGAGTGTATCCTTTTGACAGTCTATCGCTGAAGATAAATAAGCGACTCCGTTGTTTATATTTATCAGCCAACATGGAAGCCATACGCGAGCAAGTTGTGAAATTGCATTTGAAAAATTTTAGACCTTGCCAGATATTCAATAACTTAAAGCAGTTCGGAGTGAGTAAGCGGTTTATATTTCGTACCTTGAAACGGTTCAAGGATACTGGGAATGTCCATATTCAACATAAAGGAGGTGCCAAACGAACTGCCAGAACGAAGGAAAAGATCAAATGTGTGAGGGAGCGAATAAGACGTAATCCGGCTGTATCTGGCCGTAAACTGAGTAAACAATTTCAAATGTCCCCTGCTTCGATGAACAGGCTCCTCAGACATGATCTGGAATGCAAGAAACAACGAGTGCACGGATTGACGGAGCGTCAAAAGCAAGTCAGGGTCCAAAGAAGCAGAAATCTCTTGGTTCGGCACGGTGACTGCGAGATTTTATTTTCGGATGAAAAACTCTTCCTCCTGCAGGACAGTCATAACCAACAAAATGATCGTGTTTATGGTAAAACTCTTGCCGATATTCCAAGAGATAAACTAGCTGTAGAACGCTATCAGAATGTATCGCAAATCATGGTATGGGGCGCCGTATGGTATGGGGCGCCGTATGCTATGGGGCGCCGTATGCTATGGGGCATGGGGTATGGTATGGGGCGCCGTATGCTTCAACGCTGTATGGGAATGCTCCATATTGTTTCCAGCAAGACTCAGCTCTAGCTCACAAGGCAAAGAAGACACAAGCATGGTGCGCGGAAAATTTGCCCGATTTCATCACAAGCGAAGAATGGCCTGCATCTTCACCGGATCTCAACCCACTTGACTTCTTTGTTTGGGGTTATATGCTTCAGCAAATAGGCCCTACGAAGGGGCTTACTTTAGATCGATTCAAGAAACGTTTGGTTGATATTTGGGACCAAATTCCTCAGGAAATCGTGCGTGCCAGCTGCGATGTGTTTACAAAGCGTTTGCGCAAAGTTATCAAGGAAAAGGGCGAGAGATTTGAATTGAATTAATATGATTTGTTTTTATAACATGTATCTTTCAAATGAAAAATAAATGCTATGGTTTGGTTGATTTGTTTTGCTGTAATCCAATTTTGTTTTAGTGACACCTATTGTGAGACACCCTGCAGTTAAACTTGGTTTATCACATACGAGCGTCGCTTTTGGTTATTGTTTAAATTATTAGAGACGCAAAATTCAGCTCCGAAACAATTTTGAAAATAATATAATTGAGGGTGGATTTTAACGAAAGTTCTGAGAAGAATTCTATGATGATTGGATGAGGATTCGAATAGTAATTTAAATATGAATTCAACATTATTTCTGAAATTTTGCTTAAGGGAGCTTTGATGAAAATTCCATGAAAATCCCGTGAACTCCAAAAATGGTCTGTACGGATAGTTCTAAAAGAATTCTGGGGTTAATAGAATAGAATTCTAAAGAGTTCGAAATAAATTCCGAGAAAAAATCCAATGGAAGCGAATTTTGAGGGTTCAATTTCAAAGGAATTCTGAGAAGAGTTTCAAAGTTATTCTGGGATGGATTTTTGTTTTGAGAATTCTGAGGAAATACTATGGGAATTCTGAGGGGAATGAATGCCGGAGAGCAGTCTAAGGTTATTCTAAGCAGAAATTGATTAAATTTCTGAGGTTAATTGAATGGAAATTCTAAGGGGCAGCGAGCAAGGACAATTTTGAGGAAGGTACGAAACGGGTAGTTGTTTACGTCAGATGGCGACTTGAGTGTGAAACAATCGATAGAACTGTTTTCGCACATCGGAGGTACATGAGCAAATCGGTGATCATTCCTTTTGCCAGTGGTGGCAGGGAGAAACACCCCTCACCATCCCTCATTAACGGATGAGCTTGCTAAAGCAGATTCTCTACTCGATTCGTACCTTCCTCAAAATTGTCCTTATCGCTTACTACTTTCAATACACAAATTTCACACTGTCTTACTATAACGGAACTATCAACTCTTTACTTTCATCTCCTCATCATCAAATGTCCACTTTAATTCTGATATTTGATGTTAAGCATTTCCAACTACGAAAACAATCTATTTCCACGAATTTTGTTGATTGTTTGGCAATACATTTCAAGAATGCAATATTATTTTTGTAAAAGTTTATTTGGAAAATTATTCTAAAAAAGTTCTTGAGAACATTCTGAAGAAATTCTGTGAAAAGTTCTTAGCGAATTATCAAAGTTATCAACCTAGATATATCAAAATTTTAAAGATTTCGAACGCAAAATCAAATTCAAGCTCATACAAAAAATGGGAATTACTATTTGCTAGGTATCATGTATAACGTAAGCAAAAGTAAATTATTCAAATCACTTCAAAAGCACTTCACGTATTTCAATTTCTAAGTTACCATATAAATGGTTACTTATAAATTATTTACAAGTCACTATTTGGTCACTATTTCCGTAATTTTAGTCACTAAAGTCACTACTATTACATCGCATCAGCACTACCAGCCCTGTAATGAGCAGCACTCACACAAAACGTGTTGGATATTTATGTGAATTTTCGGTATTGGTCGTGAATATCTCGCGATTAGAAATGTAAAATACTTTGCGTAGAGTGATTCGCTAGCGTTAGATTTTTCGAGCATCTAGGATTAAGATTTAGATGTTTCGCGCTTATTGCTGCTTACACTACACCGGTGCAGTGTAGCAAAAACGGAAACGACATTAGAAAGTAATGATTTAGGAATACATCAAATAGACTAATCGTTAGTTTTCTCTAAATCTCAGATTTTTCTGCTCAAACTTAAAGAGTCGAACTAAGTACTGAACCATCATAATTAATAAACACATGTCAGCGTTAACGCCTGCAATGGTGAATATTTAGACGTTATCGTCGGTTATCGATTAACAAACCTGTTAATAAAACTTATATCCTAAACTCGTATGTCAGCCGTTAAAGTTCAAAGCTATCAATGGTTCATAACCTTTAGCCCTGCCGGTGCGCTTATTGACATCATCAGGCACAGGTGCACAGAAATGGACTCATCCGCCTATGAGCAAGCTCAAGAAAAATAACATTTGCTAGTCTTGGTGAGCTTTTCCCTGAACTGATTGTACCATGCTGTTTGTCAACACTTTCAGCTAAAGATTTCTTGCCTCTTCATTTTAATTTCCAAGAACAGCCCACACTAATTTATGTGGACACGCGTTTAGGTGTTTTTATTTTATTTTTTATAAATCCCGCAACAACGCACACCTGACATTGATTTGTCTGACATTTTTGTGGACACTGTTTTCAACAATCATTCAGCTATCGCATTATTGTGTTTGCTTTTCGGGCAATGTTTTCTCGACGCGATTAGACAACATTGACCATTTTTGAACGCGAAAAAAATAGACAAATGACATCAAGCCAAAGTGATGTCTTCACCATATTGTGAAACCACCCAAACCAAGGGTACTCGACTCAACTATTTAAAACCCAATTTGAATATTCGAGTCGGTGGGAACGAACACAAAACAACAAACTTTCGAAACAAAGTGTTTTAGCTGCTGATGACGTTTTTATTGCTACTTCATCTTCCTCGGGCGGCAGTTGAATGGCTTAACTTTTTATTAACTTTTATTTCATTCTCTCTCTTCTCGGCACACAGGATCCAAACGGCAGCGATTGTCGACGGAAACAGATCATGACACAGGCTCGGAGTCATCCCCGAGCAGTCCCCGGCTGAAAGCTGGTCTCTTCTCCCTTCCGATGAAATTGTCCCCCACCCGCAATGGACCACCGAGCTCCCCAGAATCGGACCTGGATGTCGATTCGGCACCGGATGATTCTGCGGCACCGGAAAATCTCAGCCTCAAAAAGGATAGTACGGCGCAGAACGGATCACCGGAACGTGGTTCCTCGCCAGTGAATAATGGGCACGGAAATGGAAGCGGAAACACCGCTAGCAATTTAGGTTTCTTACCATATCACCAACAACCGCAGTATCAGCATGGGCTGGGCGTAGCGGGCTCGCCCAACCCGTCGCGGTCACCGGTGGATGTTTTGCTGAGGTGAGGTCAATTTTATTACGCCTTTACAAAGACAATGTTTCAAAGATTTCGCAATAGTTTGTTATTGGAACGGATACAACGTAATAGGGAAAAATGGCTTAAATTTGTATACAGTTTATTGCAAAATTGATCGTACACCCTAGATGACAATTATTTAAACATGGTGAATAGATATTTTTTTTAAATCGTGGCTGGTGGTTGAACAGATGTTTATTGATTTATTGCTATATATTTGGAAGAGCCTGTATGAAGTTAGATTTATTGAAACGCTCGATTTTCAACTTTCTATCTAGTGGACGAATTTTAGTAAAATTAGTGGCATATGAATGATCCTTACTACGACTAAAAATGAGCAAAATTATAAGAAGTTGTTTCCTTAAATTGCTCTAAATTTTTGTCAAATCAACCAAATATGCCTAATACTGAGACAATAATTGATAAATATATGTCGCCAAACATTCAGAGCCGTATCTTTTTAACTTGTGCTTTTAGAGCCGCTTTTCTATAATTTAAATACAGCTGAACGATCAATTTAAAGATACACTGTATATACATATATATTTATCTTTATATATCTTCCCTGGTTACAGGATTGCTGAACCTCCTCAAACTCACCGAAGGTTTTCAAACACATTTGTCTTGCGAGTTTAGCCAGCCCTCACCTCGAGTAAGTGGCGGCAGGAATATGGAAGACTAAGTAAGCAAAAACTCCTCGAGAGAGAGTGGGAGTGAACTTCAGCGAGAGGTGCGCTTTTCGAGACTCCGGATGACTTTTTTGTTCGACGCAAGAAGCTCAGAGTACACACAGAGTGAGAGTAAAGCTGGGTTTAGACTAGGCAAGTCAAATGATCAACTCAGTTGAATTCAATTGGCTTGAAAAGTTAAGCCTGGTTCAATTTTTTTTAATTCAAGTGAGTTGATCAAGTCAGTTGAATTGCGTGGTTTACACGTTCAATTCTCGTTCAAGTCAGTTGAATTCAACTGACTTGATCAATTGACTTGCGCTGTCTAAACCCAAATTTACCCTGTCTAAACCCAGCTTAAGAGCGTGTGATAGAAAACATGAACATGAATAGCAACAAACCTCACCTCTCATTTTATCCCCTCTCGCTCACAAGCTCTGAAGCTCAGTGGAATGATTTGGCAGTAGGCATTCTACTCCTCAGAAAAATGCAACGCTTGGCTCATTTCAAACTCACGAGTGAGGCTCCATCAAGCCTGCCTGGCTACGCTAAGGAAAGCCCCTACTTGTATGCTTGACGTAATTCATATGAACAGTTCCACGCAGGGCTGAAAAAAAAAATCACTAAAATTCATCAAAGTTCACTATGGATGATACATTCATTTCATAAGGAATGATGGTGATTTTTTCAAGCCTGGTTCCACACCAGATGACTAATCGGTAAAACTCGTCCTTCTCCGATTGGATAAAACTGCATAATTGTGTGTTATGGACATTCATTCACATTTCTACAAAAAATTGACATTTTGGATGCTGATTTTTTTTCTAAAATGTTATCATCGTAATTTTTCAGTTGTAGCACATAAACGTCACTTCTGATCAAAATGGCGTCTGGGAAAAATATACACGGTTAAAAACTCAAATATTGAAAAAGGATATCTTATTTTTCAATGCTAAAAAAAGCTAGTTAACAAGAAATTTAAAAATATCACAGTTGATGCTCAACGATTTTTGTCAATTTTCAAGTGTCTATGCTTGGGGCCTCCTTTTCCTCAGTCGCAGGGTTGGTAGTAATCACTGCTGTCAAAAAAAAGTGATTTTAGTGACCATGTTGAAGAAATAAGAAGTGACTTATAGATGTAAAAATAGTGACTAAAAAGTAAACCTGAATTGAATAAAAAGTAAATTTTAATGAAAACTCTAAGAAATTTCGGAGGAGCACAACTCCTGTGAACTTCAAAGTAAAATTCCAAAAGCATTCTGCGGATAATTTCATAAAATTTGTGAGAGAAAAAAATTCGGAGCATAAATTCTTGGAATTATTTCGGAAATAATAAAAGGAGGATTACAATTAAATCTGAGAATAACTCCAGGACATCTTCCATGGAATTCGGAAAATGAACTCAGGAGAATTTCCAAACAAATTATGAGAAGAAATCTAAGGAATTTGTGAGGAGAAATGCCAATAAATTCTTAGGAGACTTTCAATGTGAGTAGAATTCCAAGGGAAAGAGAGCGATTCAAAAGGAAATCTGAAATGAATTCAATGAATATTCTGATAATCTTTCCAAAGGGTGTCTTATTGTGGAGAATTTCAAGGTATTACCGAAGAAAACTAAAAGAAAATTGAATTCCGAGGATAGCTTCATCGAAATTTTCTATTGAATATGGAATGGACTATTCTGAGGTCTTCAGAATTTCCCAAATTTTTCCTGAAGTTAATCTTCTTCTTTCCATTATTTAACGTCGGTTCCGCAATCTACTGCCAATCGCCGACGGACATCGATTGCCATCTATTGACGGCAATCGAATGTGCAGGAAGGCAGCTTCCACACCTGCGTAGGATAACGCACCCATTCAGCATGCATGGGCCGGGACCATCGGCTTTACTTACTGACCGGAGATTTTTATGCCTCAGAAAAATCCTACCGACCTAGTCTGGGATTGAACCCAGACCCACTGGGGTTAGAAAGCAGTCACGCTTGCCACTACACCACCGGCGCTGGCTTCCTGAAGTTAATGAAACTGCCTTGAAGTTCTTTTGTAGTTTGAGAAACTAGCCTGATTCTCTCAATACGACTCATCAAATTCTTAAACTTCCCTGAACTTAATAGGACTTCCTAAAATTTCCTTAATTTTTTTAACGATCGTGAATTTCTTCTAAAGGTTTAATAATTCGCTGAAGTTGTCTGTACTTCTTGAAACTTTATATGACTGCTCTGAGGTTCTCTATTCTTTTCTGAAATTCTCAAAACTGCTCTAACGTTTTTGCAGTTTTCATGAAATTTGTTGTACTGCGCTGCCTGCAGTTTGCGGATCTCCCCTTAGGCTCCATAGATTTCTATGAAGTTCTACAAATGCTTCTGAAGACCACTGTCCTTCTGTGAAGTTTTCGGAGTTTTTCTAAATTTCTGGAACTTTTGTGCTCCCTCAATTTTCTTGGAATAAGAGCGAAATAATAAATATATTTTCATGATTTTCACTGAAGATTTCATGACTTTTGTGAATTTCATGAAACTTCCATTAAATTATCAACACTAATTTAAAACTTCTTCAATAGTCTAGACTTTCCTGATGTTTTAAAAACTACCCAAACGATTATTGAATTTCTTTAAAGTTCTCTAGACAGGCCTGAATTGATCAGTATATTTTAAGAACCTGAAACTTTACTGAAATTAACTGATTTGTCTTGAAGTTTTGACAATTTTCCTTAACTATTCCAACCATTATAAACGCTTACTTATTTTCCCTGAACTTATCTACGCTTCCTGAAGTTTTCTTAATTTGTTTATTAATCCGGCAAATTTTCTGATATATATTCAAAATTCCCTGACGTTTTTGGATCAATCATAAAATTCTTTGAATACCCCATAATTCCACGAAATTCCTTGTAAGTCGCTGCAAATTTGTTTAAGTTAATGGTATTATTCTGAAGCTCTTTGATCGTCCTCGAAGTACTCGGAACTTCGCTAAATATTATGAAACTATCTAAATTCTAAGTTCTCTGGAATTTCTTGAAGATATTTATCGCTTTTATTTAACTAATGGAACTTCGTTGATATTCTCTAATCAACTTAGCTAAATTTTTGCATTTTTTAAAGTACTTGAAATCTCCATGATATAACATCCTTAAAATACTCTCACGTTTTCCGAATGTTCATATACTTTTTATCACTTTCCAGAAATTCTATCGGAGCTTTCCTGAGGTTTCCGGAACTTCTTTAAGGTTTCTACTATTTCCTTGAAATTATGTCTGATCTGTCTTGATGTTCTGTAAGCTTCTCTAAAGCTCTCAATTCTATTGAAAATAAATTTCCCTGAAATTCTTTGGACTTCTGTGAAGTTCCTGAAATATTTCTGAAGTTTTCATAAATTATTTGATGGTCTCTGTTATTCCCTTCAATTCTTGGAACATCTTATGGGTTTTAATTTTTTTCTAAATTTACGATTATACATATTTAAACTGCCCCAAAAACTCTGAACTAAATTCATGGGAACTGGTCTTAAGATCTGAAATTCCCCAAAGATTTCTAGATCTAGCTTTGCTGAGGTGCATAGAACTTCTTAAAATTTGCACAATATCCCTCAAGGTTTCTACATTTCTCAAGTTCGCCTAACACCTGTGATGTACACTTTAAAGATATTTGATCAAAACTACAAAAAAAAAAAACAACCGTGTATATTTTTCCCAAAATCACTTTAATTTTTTAAACAATTTTGTATCAGACGTCATTTTGATCAGAAGTGACGTTATAACGTTAAGTAGTCATTTTCAGCGAAAATTTTCCAAAAGCTGTCTTTAAACTTTGTACAGTTGCGAAAAAGCACCTCTCACACCAAAGTAACAAGTTCAAATCTCACCCCGAACAAGTCACGAATGACCCAAGAGCGTATATAAAAAAAAATACCATAGAATCATAGAGCCATTCAAAAGGTCTTGTACACCTGAACTAGTTTGCCAGAGACAGCAATATTCTATCCACTCAATTATCGTTACATAAATCAATCAAAAAATACACCCTCAGAAAATATCATCGATTTATTAGTTAGAAAGCTTTATAGCCTTCAAAAATCGCCCGTATCAAAAGATACGCATTTTTTCGTCATTCTGATTTATTCAAACATTAACATAACATTAGACTATGGTTTTTAAAAATAACGGATAAAGTTTTCCCTCAATCGAAGATATTTTCTAAGTGCGTTTAGTAATGTAGCTTAAATTTCAATAGCAGCCATTTTGCTTCGCTTCGTTACAGAGTATTCCCAAACCGCCGTCGAACTGAAGTGGAACAACTGTTACAGCGCTACCGAGGCGATGTTGTCCAGGCAATGGAAGCAATGCTGTGCGGTGACGATGGCCTTCATTCCAGCATGAAGTGAGTATTCATTCTCAGTGAGATTATTCAAAATACATACTCACTATTCCATTTCTCCAACGCAGCATCCCCACCCCGTCACCACCCTTCTCGGTGAAATCTGCCTTTTCCCCGTTGATGCCTCCGGGAGCTTTCGGGGCTCCAGCCGTCAGTCGTGGATATTCGTTCCTGCAGGCTCAAGCACACGCCAAGCGCTTCCTCACCGCACCGTACAGTGGCACTGGCTATCTGCCGACGGTGCTGCAGGATACCGAACAGCAAGGTGATGCTGTCAATGGAAATTCATCGGCGGCAAATGGTTCTTCTTCATCATCGACCAGTGCTGGAGGGAACTGCGGCGATGGACAGGAATAATATACATTTATCAATTTGTAAAATCTAGACGCATAAGTACTTTAGAGAGTAGCTGAACAAAATTATCAATATCGTACTTTTCTTGTGTTGCAGTTGACATTCGTTTGCAAGAAGCAAATTTTTCTTGAACTATTGTGTACAGAAGAGATGAGAAGTTATCAAAACAATCAAAATAGAACAAAATGTTTCAAGTTAGGACCTCTATATACGTAAGCCAAGTAAATAGTTCAATGGTATGCTTTGGATATATATATATATTTTGTTGTAAATAGTTGAACAAACATTGTCGTTCTAGAATTTAAGCGTGATCAATTTTGTCATTTTGTAACTCTCCATTGTTTTAAAGTAACAGGTATTGTTTAGCAAACGGGTCACGTCAAATCTAATATCACCAACTGTATCAATGAACAAAGATAAGCATAACCTTAAATCTAGTAAATCTACAAAGACAGATCTATAACAACTATTCTCACACTCACACGCACGCACTAGCCTGTTTATGGATATTAGAGCATATATGATAAACTCCTTCAGCTCCACTAATAATCCGACCGCCCAGGAATAGAATATCAAATATAACAAAATATGCTTACGATGTAGCCTTAAGACACATTTATTCGAAAAAGTGAAATAAAGAAGGTGCCATAATCATCCCAAAAATATTTACCAAACTTTCCCATTCCGAAAGCGAACCGGAGAAACATTCCTTGAAATTTAATACAGTTCCCTTCTCGGTTGCCCATCTGGGCCGGCGCGCACCCTTGCCGGAAACAAGATTCACCCTTTTCCCCTCAGTTGGTTCTTTTATTGTTCGGCTAAATTTTGGGTTTTCCGTTTTTCCCCGTTTCGGATCGACAACGAGAATGACGACAAATGATGTTTACTAATAATAATAATCTGCCGACGCTCTTATGTGTCAAATTAATTCCTCATAATAGCAAACAGATCACAGACTGAGTGAACGCTCGGAAGGAGGGCTCATTGCGAAGGCAGGGGAAATAGATACGGTTTATTACTTTATTCACTCGGGCTCTGTTTGGTTGCGACTGGTTAGGATGTGGTCACCCCTGATGGAAGACAGAACGGAAGGGATGCTTGGTATGTAGGTACTTTCCACCACGCAGGCCAATGTGTCATTCGTTGTTGAAGCTGGTTCGGGTTTGGAGTACCTTGAGGTAGGTATTTTAGAAACAATTTGCCTTTTGTTGGGATTGGAATGTTTTTATCCGGAACAGCTGGTTGATCTCTTTATATGATGCTCCAGTATACTATATTAGAATTAGAGAGTCGGGGAAATTAATCAAATTTGTATCAATCGTCAGGGTGCTTCATATTAATTATAACATATTGGCCCCTTATTTGTTGTGGAGAACAATTTAAATGTTAATAAGAGGAAGCTCGAGGATTATGTTTAGAGGGTGTCTATAAGCTCGGGGCAGTACTGTATTTGATTCTTGTTGTTTATAATGATGACGAAAATCCCACCACTTACCCCTTCAAAAGTTAAATTTACCTAGATATTTTAATAAAATCATTTTTACAAGATTTGCAAAATAGTGCATTGATCGATGCTACTCGCTATTTTTTTTCTCACTATGCTGTTTATTTATTGTTGTCAATCAGATGTAGACCATTTTGTTACAATAATAATTACATTGTTTGTTTTTTTTTAATAATAATGCATTAAAAAAAAAAGACACAAAATTAACAATAGTGTTCAAATTACGAGCCAAATTGAAGTGTTGCTTCAATTTGGTTTTTGTTAATAGTTTCGCATTGCTTGTTGTAAGTAGCCATCATTTGATTTTAGGGTCCAAATTTAGCAAAAAAGAAAAAAATATTCCGATTGCGCAGTTGTCGGGAAGGTACATACAAATTTAGATTTGATAAGAGTTCTACTGAATCAATACGATGCGAAACGATATCGTTTACAAATGAGACCATTGCAAATTCACGACACTCTTTCAATGTTTGAATGTTCATGAGCATGCACCGTGCTTCATAAGACGGAAGAGGTAATCTTCTTCTCTGTTCCGCAATCTAGTGCCAATCACCGACGGACATCGATTGCCATCCATTGACGGCAATCGAATGTGCAGGAAGGCAGCTTCCACACCTGCGTAGGATATCGCACCCATTCAACAATACACATGAACCGGGACCAACGGCTTTACTTCCCTTCCGAAGGAAGACGTGACCAGAGATTTTTATGCCTCAGAAAAATCCCACCGACCTCGGCTGGGATTGAACCCAGACCCATTGGGGTGAGAAAGGAAGAGGTAATCTTGGCCAACCTAGTTTACGAAGTGCAAACAATAAGAATTGTTTTTGTACCTGTTCTATTCGTTCCTCGTGCGTTATTGAATAAGGTGACCAAACTTTGCTGCAGTATTCTACACAGATAAAAATTCTGAATTTTAATAGTGATGTAAACATTCATTCACGTAAACTTGTATTTCATTTCACGCAACCAAGCAACTTGTAAACAATGTTGTTTACAACAATGGGCTTTTGTATACACTATTTGCTACATTGCATGAAATGACTCAGAACTTTACATGATATATAATGTAAACTTATATGATATGTGACGCTCCATTTATGTGCATCATACTAGACAGAAATTTACACTACTTTTTCGAACTGTGTAGTATTGACTTCACAGAGGCAATGTACAGCGTTTTTATTGTGCACGGATCATGAAAATTACAGCTTTCTTTTTCTTATTGATTTATTTTATAAGGCTCAATCAAATTAGCTTTACAGAGCCGAGTATTCTTGTTTACTATACAAAACATCTTAAGGTGATACGATACGTCACGCTTTTTTTGCTTTTTTTCTCTCCTTTCTATGTGTCAGTGAATTGATTATCATTGATGCTGTAGTGGTGTGAGTGTACATCATGCACTATCGCAACTACCGTAAACATAGCTTCTAGAGTTCGTTATTATCAGGGTCAAATATGTAAATGTTAATTAAAAAAATTAGAAAGGTAAAGAATAAGTTATGTCCATATTATTGTTAGTTTCAACCTTCGTGATTTTTAAAGCGATGAAGATATATTTTTATCATCCAATATTGAAACTATCACTACATTTCTATTCAATTTGCCAATTTTATCGACCTACCACTTCCCAGGACACCCCTTCCTATAAAGAAAATAATTATGCGCCTAGCCACCAAGACCAACATGTCAAGTCATCATAGTAGTTAATTGATTCAACATCACACTTTGTACACTTTTGTTACATACAACCTGTCCAAAAGTGGTTCCAGAGCTCAAACCTGCGGGTACACGGTAAGAAAAAAGATCCCAAAGTGACTCATTTTCACAAATCTCGCCACTATATTGCAGGAAGCCAAAAGTAGGTAATGTGGGTCGAAGAGTTTTCATTTACTTGTGTTCAATAAGTATGGAATTGACAATTCTCTTCTACCCAAAAATAGTTAGTTGTACCCAAAAGTAGGTGTATATGATTATACTCAAAGTCAAAAGTAGGCAAAAATGAACTGGCCGTTGGATATTTTTTTCTTATCGTGTATGTTTTTGTTTTAGAATCATCCTTTTGCCGCCTTTTGCGTATCAGCTGATTGCTTCGAGCAGTGCACCCAGAACGACACATATGTTTTCTATAGAAGATTTCTAGATTTATTTACTTTCTTTTTTTGTCTTGAGAAACAAAATAAGAAATTGTTTAAAATATTTATTAGTGATGGTTTCTAAACTGAACACATTTTAAGCACATTAAAAAGCAATAAAAGCATTGTTTTTACACAATTTGATTCAATTAAATCGACAACACTGGATACGATGATAGATGATTCGTACACACACCTTCGCAATGCGGTGTGTAGAAAAAAAGGTAAACAAAACAGTTTCAGCTTGCAAAATTATTCGCGGCTCGCGTTTTTAACGATGCAAATGATATTATTTAAGTAAATATCGTCTTTAAAATTTAATTAACTTGAAAGTGCTTGTAGAAGCACGTGTCGTAATTGTTTTTAGTGTGGTTCTGAGAAGTGAAAACTAGTGAAAACAGTTATTGAAATTTGATGCCCTGGGCAGAACAAAATCGACCGATCGTACATTTTAATGTAAAAATTACCAATGCGTGAAGGAATTGGCAATATTTTGGTGGAAAGGTATCAAAATATGTATCCAGATCTTATTCATACAATTCAGGCCCATTTTTTAAGGTATGTAATTAGTAATTTACTGTTTTGTAGGAAGATGTCTTTCGTACGCATACCAAAACACGTTTATTTAATGATTGTAGGGACAGCCATTGTTGGATGACGTGCCGTATCACCTTAACACACAGTCAAAAGGTATAACGCAATGAACACTTTATCTTCCGCTATCCAATAAGCATCCTCCATCAGAATGGGATCCGCTTCCAGTGGTTTCATTGAAAGGCAATATCGCCAACGAGGGGCAGAGCGCTTCCATTGTACCAATGGACCGAAAACGTGGTCATCACTCACACAATCATCACTAAACGGTTGCTTTCCAAAGTCGACGACGCATCGACCGAAAGAACTGCAGATAAAGAACAATGAGGAGGACCACACAATGATGGTTGCTGCCGAGTAAATAAACGATCGCGTGACACACATCGAGAGTGGCCTGCTTCTGTCGATAGCCGAGTGATAACTGAAAAAAAATACAGTCAGAAATCCTTATTGCCGGGCTATCCACGAATAACGATACCCACAGCTTATGGGATTTTCACTAATCGGGCTGTGGTTGATTATCTCATTTGTTTCAATATATAGAGCTATACTGTCTTGGACAAAATTGTTGTACTGGGATAGATCAACAAGCCTGTGTCAAAGGATTAAGGTTTAATTGGGAACTACGCCGCTAGAGGCGCTTCACTTTTATGTTATTTATGACGGGTGCTATAATATAGGTCCAACATAGAATATTTCGTGATCCTGGCCATATAGAAAGTTCTTCAGCAAAGTTGTTCAAGTGACCAAGTCCTTTCGGATGGTGGCCATATGAGTTCTGAACTCTCTCGCTACGCAGCGCTAGTGTGCATATGAGCTTGCTATATAAGCTGTATCTCAACATTAGGATCAGGCAATCTAGTTGATTTGTTGAGGCAATATTCGAGGCCTACAAATAATCCAAACATTCAGAACTTAGGGGATTCTGGTTTGTAAGACAGTTCGAACAAAAAATCGTCCAACCTGGCTATCATTCTCAGAATCACTTCAAACGAACTACACTCCCGAACTA